AAATTAGAAAAATAAAAAGGGTTGAGAATGCCGCAAAACCTTCCATCATATCCTCGGAAAAAGGAAATGAATATACGTGTTTTTTCCAACCAAACATGTTTCCTTAAACTATTCTAATCATTACCTTAATATATACAAAAACATAGTTTTTTTAAATATATTTTTTTAATTTTTAAGGAGTTATTTTATCAAAAAACTATTTTAAATATATCAAACCTCATAATTTTTTGTTCTCTATAAATAGACATCAATATTGATATAATTTTAAGACAAAATAAGTTTTTTATTTATTTATAATTTCAGCTCTCATTATTAATAAGTGAATAAAAATGTATCAGATTTTTATTATAGTATATTCGTTAATCACTTATGAATAAAAAATATACTTAATTTTTTTTATAGTTTATATATCATTCATATATGAATATAAAATATAATAAACTTTTTACACTTTACATCGCTCTCGTCACATATTATATTCAAATATGAATAAAACGTGTATTAATTTTTTTCACAAGTTATATTCATATATGAATAACACATTTATCATAATTTTATTACAGTTCATTTGTTATTCATATATGAATATGAAGTTCGAATTTTCAAAACACTTCATCTTTTATTAATATACTACTTATTCATATATGAATAACAAATGAACTGTTATAAAAATCTAATAAATGTTTTACTTATATATGAATATAAAATACGACGAGAGCTAATACACGTTTTATTCATATATTAATATAAATGTGATGAAAGATGATGTAAAAAAATATATTTTAAGTAATAAAACTTATTACGCGTTATATTTATATATGAAGATACTTAAACTGTAAAAAAATTAAGCATACGTTTTAATCATAAGTGAATAAATAATGAATTGTAATAAAAATATGATGTATTTTTATTCATTTATGAATAACGAGAGCTGAAACTTTACAATTTTTTTTTTAATTTTATCTTAAGACTATATCAATATTGATGTCTATTTATAGAGAATAAAAAATTATGAATTTTGATAAATTTAAAATAATTTTTCGATAAAAATAACTCTTTAAAAAATAGAAAAACAAAAGAAACTATATATATATATATATATATATATATATATATATATATATATATATATATATATATATATATA